GCTGGCTAAGTAGGCCTTCCAGCAAATATGGTTTTTTTTATGTTTTTTGTAACATAAATGGGCTTTCTATTAAACTATAATACATCCTAGCAAAAAAAATAAAAATTAAGAAAACAGAGCAGCAAAATCTCTTTGCTTCAGCTGAATCCAAGTGACACAACTAGGAAGAAATGAAGCTTGCAAGAATCTTTAGAGAAAAGTTTTTCCCGGTAACTAATTAGAAACTGCAAACATAAAGAAACAGGCTTACTTCCCCTCCTCCAGACTTTTTACAAATAATTTTTTCTTGGAAAACCATGAGAAAAGCTGCTACTTTAGGTGAATATCTTTATATCTATCAAAAACTAAAAACAATGACAGCCAATAATTGAGATCTGATGCTTTAATCCTCAATAATTTTACCTAAATTTCACATGTTTTCAAGCCTGTGCTCTAGTTCTGAACCAGTAAATCTCAGGGAATTGCCTTATTCAAAAGCCACAACAATTTTAAGACCCATGAAGCCCTGGGCCCTATTTATTCTGTAGCATTTTTGCCATGGTCCAAGAGGTTTCCTTTCCTCTGGATAAGAAGGACCGGTTTCTATGATTGTTCCTGACAGAGTAGATCCAAGATAGGAATACGCAAACATCCATTGCTTACCCCACTCAACAGGGACAAAATCAGAAGTGTTGAAGAAAGCAGTTTTCCCTCTAACAGAGGTCACTTACTTCCTAGCTGAGTAACTTCCCTCCAGAAGTACAGGCAGACGCTTCTTTGGAAAGAACCATCTTGTACTGAATAATACCTACCAGGATACTGCTCCTGCAAGAGTAGAAATCACTTCCAACACACTAACATGGAAGGAAAGCAAGAGCTCACACACACCAATAGAAATGGCCTAAGTACTACAACGATATGGTAAGGCTACCACTTATTTGGAAGTGCCGTAACCAATCTGATTCATCTTACTTTCCTCACAAAAACTGCTGTAAGCAAATAATGAGGAGAATTATTTTCCTTAGATTGCCTTCTAAAACTGCTTTCAGCTTTATAACCAGTTTAAGTCATTGTTAATTCTCTTCTCAGTATTGAGATGTTGAGAACCTCATCAACCCTCCCAGAGCAGGACTCCAGCCTCGCACTCCCTTTCCTTTCTTCAGTTTCTGGAAAGAGAAGAGAGGCAACTGCAAATTCTTGTAACTGGAAACCAAGTGATCTATCCACCAAGCAGAAACAACAATATGCTGTTAATATCTTTCCTCTTTTGTCAGACACAAAAGCAAGCTTGTTCTGGGCACTAAGCTGCAGATATCAAAAAGAGAGAAGAACAGCACCTACAGGTAAATACTCTCTGCCATTGACTGTGAGTACTAGAAGCAAAGAGTTTCAGGAGCTGTTATTCATTTTCACCACTGAAGACAGTTGAAGTTTACAATAATTGCCATTCTTCTAGACACAAGTACAACCAGGCAGGATGTTTTCAGGGTACTAAGATTACAGTCTAGAAAACTCAAAGTCTAACTACTAGAAGAAACAGTGGCTGCATAAGGAGAGAAAACACGTATTTCTGAGTCTTACTGCTTACAAGGCATCTCACGCAGAACTCTGGCATAAATAAAGACAACATTCTCCACCACCCTCTCCCTAGTGAGAAGGGGGTATTATCTGCATCTTCCCCTCATTTCTGAAGCTTCTTGTAAATAAGATGCTATAACTTTTCTTGTTACATTCAGTTAAGTAGTTCTGCACATAGCAACTTCTCCCAGGCCATTTAATACAGCAGTCTTACCAGCAAGAGACAGCTTCGGCTTTGTAGCGAAAATAATCAGGTCATATTCACTTAGTTTAAATGTACACGCTTTAATTTGAAGAGCATTGACATATCTGTGAGTGTACGAGTGTTTCACAAACACAACCGTGTTCGTGGATCTGTGTATTGTATAATTTTTTAATGTGTTTACTTTAACTGCTCAGAAGTGCCCTAAATAGTTGAGGTTTTTTGTTTTTAAAAAAATTTCCTCTACCAAAAAAATGGAACCAAATCAGTGTTTCTGCAGTCAAAATTTGTCCAAGTAAAGTTCACTTTGGTGATATTTATTCTGTAAATAATGAATTCACACCTTAATCACTCTATTGTCTGCAACTAAGTGCTTGGCAAGTGCTCCCACCACAGAGAGCATTGTACCAGGAGTTTATTTTGCATCTTCCTGCCTTCAACCACATAGCACAGGGGCTAGGGCAGACTCAAACAGTGGGAGTTTGAGCAAGATCAAACACTACGGAAGAGATCTGTGCTGCACTGCTTTTCTGGCATTCTTTTCCCTGTCTTTTGAAGTGGAGCAGGAACTTTTTCTTAAATTAAAGAAACCCAAAAAGTACTTACAGTCCTTCCTGAAGACAACTTCAAATAGACATGCCAGCTTCCAGGCTCTGATAGAATGACAAGATACTACAAAAAAAATCCCCTTTCATACAAAAAAAACACAGCAACAAATTTCAAGAGCAAGAGCAAAGGTTATTCTTATCATCTGAGTCTAAATCACAAACCGATTAAACTGATTTTGTTGGTTGGTTTTTTGTTTGTTTGTTTAAACAGAGGGAAGGCATGCTTCTTCTCACTGAAGTGGAAGCTGCAGCATCTCTTTAAAAAACAGACCCAGAAATCAGTTTCTCTATATAGACCACAATTTCATTGACTCTAATTTCCTAAGCATACCCACTCAAATCCTTATTCTCCACCCCCCCACCCCCCCAATACAAAAATACTTTTCTGTTGAATCAAGCCTGTATCAAGTATCAGGAAACAGTATAACACACTGAAAATTATTTTGGGAAGTAATTAACACTGACTTTTATAATATTTTCACAGAGCCCTTACACTTCCAAAAATTAACGTAATATTCTTATTGATTATGGTCTGGATTTCAGCAAGCTCGAAGGAATAGCTGAGAATGGCAGAAAACAACACAAACTAGAACTTTTTCAGCACCTCCACAGTACTGTACCATGTGTCTTCAATTATTTCCCAGGAATCTGTTAGCAAGTTTAGAATTTTATTTAGGCGTACTTTAACTCAGTTTAACGATCCTGTTATCCGAGATTCAACCAAGTCAGATCACAGTTAGGAGTTTATAAATGTCAGTATCTTACTGTGTTACTTAGGAGTACGAGAAAAACTAAATAACTTAGTTTTAATAAACTGACAGTAAGAGTGAAACAAAATCCAAGGAAGTTGCTCGTTAAACAATTGACCCCAAATGCAGCAACACAGTCAGTGACAGCTTATTCTTATTTTTCAGTGTTTCTTTCAATTTTACTTCTGCAGCTAACACAGAGATGTGAAGAAGTATTTCAGATTTCACACACACACAGCAACAGGTCTTTTCCTTTCAATAGTTCATCTGCAAGTTCTATTTGATTCTCATATTATCACTCACAGAAAACTAATTACAGAGCAACACACGTCTGACATTACTTATGTTCTAAAGATTTGACCAGTGTTACCTTTGTTTTGTAATTGAAAAAAAAAATCATATTAATGTTTTCATTGCCTGGAAAATGCATACACTTACAATTAAGTGTATTTCATTTTTAATTTAATTAAATGTATTTAAGGCAACAGTAGCTGAATTTTCGATGATCCTGTTTTAGTTATCTTCTTACCAGGTTTCATGACACCATTAAATCTCTTCAGAACAAAATAAAACATCGGGTTCATGGTTGGGTATTCCTTATTGCCCTGCTATCTCCAAGATGATCTGAGCTGCCACATGGCTAAAAGCTCTTCTTAGGAAGACTTTTCCAGATGGCAAGAATAAGATGGCATCAGAGCTGAGGATCTCCCAACAGCCTAGGCTACCAGACTCCCTGACCTCAGGGCAGTCACCTTGTTCACCCACCCCTCTCCCAGGACTCCAGCTCACAGTGACCCTTGAAAACACAGCAGAGCTCCTTCCCCCCCGCCCCCAGCTCTTTGCTGGAGAGAGTAGGGCATTACTATTCAGCCAAAGACAAAAGGAGACATTTACTCTAACTGCGCATCATTTGGTCTCCATTTAGCATACAGGTAGCAATTGATTCAGAGCCAAGAGGAGGGAAACAGCTAGGTGAAAACACTGACACTGCAGTAGGGGTTGGGCTACAGACAGAAATACACCAGGCTAGATGCTGAACTCAACACACAGGAACCACCCAGTTACACAAAGCACCTACAACTGCAATTCTCCGAGCACTCTGGCCAACTGCTCACCACTATGGAAACTTTTCCAATTTGAACTTCAACTCTGATCGCTTCTGCCTTTGCTAATCGCCCTCTCGAGGAGCTCACCAGGCCAGTGACAAGGTCCCTGTGCTCATACAAACACACACTGATGGTGGCAGGCTGCAGGCAAACTCTGCGGTGCAACACAGGAGTTACCCACAGAAGCACCTAATGGGAAGCATGTAACTTGAAGCATATTCTATTTGCATTAAACCATTAGCTTAACAGAGAAACTGCCGTCAGCATTTGTGCAGTTCACTAACTAGCAGAGAGCACTTGATTATAGGGGTATCACAATTCTTTAACCACACCACATTCTTAATGATTCCTGTCAATATGTTGACAATTAAACAGTATAAGCAACAGGACAATAAAATATTTGTAATGTCCTAATCACAAGTCAAAGAAAAATACAAATTGGTTCCCCCATGTACTCAAGCAAACCATGACTACATGGAAAGTAATATTTTTAAAAATAAGTTGAAGTGTGCAACGTTTCTTCATATGGATGCCTTAAAAAGGAATTTGTATTTAAAGTTCACTAATAATTTGCCATTTCCTCCCTATTGGCTGTGGATTCCTGCAACATCTGAAAGCACTGGCGTTTTCCAGACTCCTATCGTAAGAAAATTTCAATAGGTTTACTTACGCATTAGGCTGTAAATGTGCTTTTCTGCAACATGTTCCGTAAACAGCTTTATAAGGTCATCTTTTAGGTCTCTGTTAAGCTTGGTTTCTATGTAAAATTTATTCTGGAAAACAAGACAGAAGTTTTCAAGTTTGTTTTTCATAATAGCAAATAAAGTAAACTTACTTTTCCCCTGAATAATAATAGTTCAAAATGTTAAAGCTGCAGAATATTTGACCTGTAAAGTGCTTCCTTGGTGACTGAATTTAAATTAAATAGAATATTTCTGTATAACAAAACCCCATGCCTTTAAAATTAAGAATACATGTTGCTATTGGTAACAAACCTACTTACATGCAGGCGTGGATTTTTTTTTTTCCTATATCTACAGGTGTGTCTTCATATTGATCCAGACTGGGCAGTCTGGAGAAAAAACACTTCATTTTAGAACTTTATAAGTGCTCTAACACCAAAATAGGGCTGGACATGGTGTTTATAATAAAAGAAACATTTTTACCAATGTCTAAAAGTGATTAAGCCATTAAAATAGGTATATTACTAAATGATCAGTCCAGCTATCCACTTCTGTGGTTCATCAATAACCTCAGCGGACAGCTACTCAGAATTAATCAGCTGGGGAAATAACTGATATATACAAATCTATACAAAACTGAGCTACATTAAAAATTTTAGGACTAAATTATCTTGACCCACTCAGCATTAATAATAAGTTCATCTCTTCAGCCCTCAAGAAAATCCTATTCATGAATAGAGACCCTTGAGGGTCTCTGTACCTAATGTACTATTTGGTGTTTTGCTCAGTTCCCAGCCTGTAATTAATATTAAGATTTCTTGTCTGTATTTTATTCATAGGTGGGTTTTAAACGCTGGAAAAATTACAATACTAACACGGAAGTACAACAACTGAATTAATCTGGACAAATTGTGTAAAAGAGTTAAACAGATACTATAATAGGAAATCAACTTAATAAAAAATACCGTACTGGAGCTATTTACTAGAGGAAGAGTTATCTTAAGCGAGAAAGGTTTTGCCACACTTTAAATCAAGTTGTTTTGTCTCCTATTTGCTAAAACATTTAACATAACTGGAACAAACTCTCAAAACACTATTAGAGCAATCTTTTTTTTTTGTGAAACCCATTCTCTTGGCCATTACGAAAACTACACACCTAAAGTAATAAACTGTCCATGCAGAAACCACTTAAATTTTCAAGACAAGTATTCAGAAGCAGTTATTTACCCTTAATGAAAACTGAACCGTTAGAACAAAGGCAATCCAAGGGCTGAATACATGCCCCTCCGGAAGCTTAGGTTTGTTGTACTGAGGGACAATAGTCTTCAAAACAATTTTTTAAAATTTTGTAACTTCCTACTGCCAGTTCCCTCCCTGAAGCTATCCTACCTGTAGAGGTTTTATCAAGAGCTATTACCCAGTTGTTTCACCCTCACATAAGCCTGTTCTTCAAGCAGAGATTGAGGGAAAGGCTCTGCAGACAGAATAACCTGTCTTGTAAGAAACAGACTGACTTCATCTGTAATATTTTTGGTCAATGGTGAACTGCCATTGCAACAGAAATCCGCAGCAACTCGAAGTGTCAAGCTACACACCATACTGCTGTCTTACATCAGACTTAACTTCCTAAACCATTTCCACCTTGAGCTTCCTCACCACATACCACTACGTACCCACTGGTGCAACACAAAGGAGTGACCAGAGCATCCCAGGACAAGCCCACTGACCTGAATCAAACCTGATAATGACAAACTACCAATTCCTGTGAGTTAACAGGTGAGATGCACCCTGCTAAGGAAAGAGACTCCTCTGTTCCTTTCCCAGCCTCCACACCTTCTTACATTAAAAGCAGCTGGCAACGACACGTGCAAACGGGGATGCATTCTTTTGTTTAAGAGTTGGAAAGCCTACACGTTAAGTTTCATAACTAGAAAAGCAACATCAAAAACCCAAAAAACAGTCGTTTCAAGGAGAAGAGTTACAACACAGCGCTTATACACACAACAACTGTAAAATACTCTTCACATTTTCTCACTTGGAAATACATTTCCAAAAAGACATTACACTTGAATGGATTTAGACAATGAAACATCACCTAACATAAGTACTTCACTTCCAATCCACAGTGCTGAAAGGAGATAGCAGAAGAGCTAGCTGTCATCTTCCCCATTCTTGTCAGTGGAAAAACAGGAAGATTTTCTGTATAAGATGTCACTACCTAGGCTGTACCAGTATTTCTTGAAAAGTGTGTCAAGTCACCTAAAGGTCTGACAGGTAAAAGATAAGCAGATATCAATACCTGAGAAAGTCAGATATGATATAAGCATTTCTTCTACAAACTACCATATCATAAAGCAATCTGGCCAATGTTAAAAGACATCATTCTGTTAATATTATCAAGAGGAGAACAATAAATACTTGTAAGCACTCATATACACTTTTTTCTCTATCTCATCCACATATATATACTCACACGTATCTGTGTATACAGACACACACAAAATGCCCTCTAGCTGATAAGCAATGAAGTGCAATACCACCCAGTAAGAACAGCAGTATTTTAGAGGCAATTAAAAAATTCTTAACTATCCTAAAACCACAGTGCTCACAAATGTTAGGCTCATTTCACAGCACAAGCTAAAAGATTTGCAGTTATGTCTCTAGGTATAACTAGCAATTGAGAACTTATTATAAAAAAGCATATATTTAAATGCTGATTTTAACTTTTCTTGAAGTGGAAATATGATTTTTATTCATTCAGGTATGCAGCATAATGTGATATGTACAACCTGTAAGCAGCCAGAATAACATCATTCAGATTTACAAAGCAAACAGTTATTCTAGGAATTCTTCTTAGGAATAAAGCACTGTGTGCTAAGCTGACATCCAGTTTAGTTTGCTTTATCTGTGGTTACATCCCAGAACTTTTGAAGGAGCTTAAACCCACACAATTTTGGAGGGATGAAAGTGCTCTGGGCCTCCATGCTTTCTTGAAAAGTCCAGTTTAGCAGCATAAGACCTAAGAAATCCATCACCACATGAAAAAGAAAACCACTAGAGCTCCCAGCAGGAGAAGGAAAAAGAAAACTCCCCCAATTGCAAAGTCAGCCCTCTCAACTGTCACTCAAGACAAGCTCTGAAACACATCCTCGTCACCCTATACAAGCAGGTTAAAAGAAATACCTTTCCTGTATTCCTGCCATTCACACAGAAGAATATATGGTTTGAACATATTATGAAAAAGAAGAAAAGTGCTGCTGTTGATATCAAAACAGACAGGTCTAAGCCGAAGGCAAAATACTATGCCTTTGGCAGCCACCAAGAGACAAAAACATGTTTCAGTTGTACAAAAAAAGCCTTTAGGTTTTCCTTGGCTTCATAAATTTTTAAATATTTAAATGCATATTTAGTTATATTTAGTTTTCCTAAGCAGCAATAAAATTATCTTTTCAGAACAGTTTATCAGTGCAACTCAACAGCCTTGGAAAGTCCTGATTAAAGCAATCGCATTGCTACCAAAAAAGGAAAGCCCTGCCATCTCTGATAAAAAGGAGTTCAACAGCTCAGTCCACTTAAAAATACACTGAAAGTATCTATTCAAGTTACTGTAAAGCCGTAATTTATACTGTAGAATAATAAGGCTTTCACCTCTTGCAATTGCTTTTTAATTATATTTTCTTGTCTAAATAAAGGAAACTGCTGCTGCTGTATGAGAGAAAACTTGATTAGCCACTACAAGGTAAAATTGCAAGAGTAACTGTACATAAAAGTACTTCCAAATACATACAGAAAAAAAATTAGAGGAAAACATTTTTCATCCTGACTTCTCTAGAGATATTTTCCACATCATGCACAACAGTGATTAATAAGTTATTTCAGAGAAAAAGTATGAGACTTAATTTGACATTAGCCTTCAAAACCAGTTATACAGCTGAGCCAAATCAGCATTGCATTTGTCAGCAAGAGAAACTAACACATAAGCCACTTAAAGGGGGCTTATTAGAGATAGGGACAGACTTTTTAATAGGGCCTATTGTGACAGGACAAGGGGTTTTAAACTAAAAAAGAGTTATAAGATATAAGGAAGAAATTTTTTACCATGAGCGTGGTGAAACACTTCAACAGGTTGCCCAGAGAGGTGGTAAATGCCCCATCCATAGAGACATTCAGGATCAGGCTGGATGAGGCTTTGAGCAACCTGGGCTAGTGGAAGTCCATCCCATGGCAGTGGGGTTGGACTGGATGACCTTTAAAGGTCCCTTCCAACCTAAACCATTCTATGATTCTATAACTCTCGGGCCTAACTTGAATTAAGTCATTTAAATGAGAAAGTGTTTGCAGGAAGAGAGTTTTACTACCCAAACAAATCACTAGTCACGCTATAAAGCAGCTCCCCCTTTACAACTATAAGAGTACTTTCACTTTTCTTTGTTCTCAAATAAAAAAAAATTACCATCTAACTAGTCATTTTACAGGTCTGTTTATTACCTATTAAGCATTTTTACTATGTTCAGGTGGTATCAGACTCCAACTCTAAAAAAGAAACGATGGGTTACACAGCACTGCTCATTTGAAGATACAAACATCCCATCACAACTGCGTACAAAGAAAGATACAGGAATCCATTCAGCAATTATACCTTGTCTGGTCATACAGACAAAGCTCATAATGATAAAACCTCTCTGTTTGTATGACTATCATGAACATTTTTTCGATGTTAGTTACCGCAGTCTTAATTGTTAATGATAGCTTTTGACCTCTGTGATGGAAGGACCTCTGTGAGAGATCTGAGTATTCAATAGAAGTACACACCTGAACAGCTTAACTCCACTCCTGAATGGATATTGAACTACCAGACTGCTTAAACACCTGCCTGCAATAAACAAGTCAAGCACACACAGGTGAAAAAATGGCTGGCATCTAAAAACAGCTGAATGCAGTAGGGGGAAAAAGTCTTTTCCTAGTTTTTAATGCAACAAATCTGTATGGTAACACTATGCTGAAAGACCGTAACAAATTACCTGGTTTCAGGTGCGTTCACTGAAACATAGGACACCCTTCTAAAAGATATTACTCTGGAAAGCTACCAACGAGAATAATTTTGAAGAGTGTAAGATTTATTTAATCTAAATCAGTTTAATTATTTTTTTTAAAAAAACTTTATTTCCCAATAGATACTACCTTTTTTTTTTTAATTTTTAAGATATGACAATGCAAGGCCCATTTTTGGGAGAAGGACAAATTCCGAGCTTAAGTTATTCCTTACCATAAAAAAAAGCAATAAAAGTCTTGGCACTTTGATAAAAAATGATGCGAATTATAAACTTCTTCAGAGGTACAGAAGACTTCATCAATTACAAAATCAGCGTGACAAACATTTATAGGCAATGGTTTCTGAACTTCTGCAAGTATGCCTGATAGTGCTATGTTCATAAGTTTGTCTTCATCCAGTCAACCCTCTAAACTGCTTTATCAAGGGACAGAGACATTTCCAAGGGACGTTTCTTTTTGTCCTGTCTGAATCCATGCGACTTAAAAGCAAGAATCATCTTTGTAACCTGCCCAAACTACCAAGCCAACATATAACAAGACAATAAACTACCTTGAAAAAGCCCTAACTATCTGGGACAGCTTTTTTCCCCTCAAAATAAACACCATTCCCCCCCCACTCCCAGGAAAGACATATTAGGGCAGAAACTAATTGCAAACCTCTACATTTAAAAGCATGGCCTTTCCTTCCTCTCCCCATACAACTTGATCAGTTCTGTTATGCAGGTAGCAAAACCAGGCAAGAATCATAAGTTCTGCAAGTTAAAAATCATTATAGCTGCATTTTATTCTTTTCACTTTCAGTCAGTATCTTGTGTATGGACATATTTTATTTGAAAATAATTTTCTAAAACTTACCATATATATGAAAAGAGGCACAATGCTCTGCAATGCTCCCATATATTGTCCAAGAGCTACGTTAAATCTTTCAATATAGAGATCTGGAGGGCTGGCCTGCAAAAAACCGTAAAAGTCAGGTTGTAATTTGAACAAGAGAAAGATCTGGAACAGCATGGGCTATGCTTTCACAGCAAACTCAAAAAATCTACAAAGTATTTGATACACTAAGTCCACACAAAGCAAGCCACACATCATTCCAGAGTTTCTGCTAGAACTCCCTCCAGCAAAATCAGCTTCCTTCAGTAACTGGTTTTTGCCTAGTACTATGAGTCAGTGCCCAGCAAAAGGTGCATTCAGAAAGAAATACAGTATGCCTGTAACAAGTTAGTATTTGGCATATGCAAATAAAAACACTTATTCAAGACCAGACCTTCCTTTTGAAAGAACTATCTTCTACGCCTAGAATCCACAACCAAATTTCAACCAGTGCTGTGGTGTGTGCTCCAACCCCTCCGCAGGCTTTTTACTCCAAGGCAGCAGGGTGGCATTAAGCTGCTGCTTTGCATATGAGCTGGCAGTGGCACATCCTCCAGCTCCACAGAGCACTGTCCTTCATAGAAAAGACATTTCAGTTTTTGCTGGGTCACCTAAAGCAAGGCAAATATTCAGGGTGTTGAGCTGGAGGGACTATGGAGCAATGTTTTCAGATATAGCTCCCTGTCTGGCATCTCACACTCCAGATCAGGCCCATGAAAACCTGCTGCGTGCTCAAACACCCCGCATCGCCCTGTAGCCCCAAGCAAAACTTTGCCACACAAAATCTCAATGTGCCGACTTTATGATAGGCTTTGCAGAGCCCACAGCGACAGCACTGCTATCCTTTGTGTACAGTACCACCTTTCCCAAATAAGGAAATAAGCAAGCTAAAAAGATCTGTTCTGCAGCAAGCTGTTCATATACATACACACACCTATACACACCCAAGGACAAAGTGTTTCATGCTAATGAGGAAAAACACTTTTCTCCCCTTGTGCCATCTTCCCCTCTGACAGCACCACGCCAGAAGAGGATGGAGAACGCAGCAGCAACTGGGACCTTGCAAGAAAGCAAGCTCAAAGATTTTTCTAAAGCCAAAGCATCTGTGGCATAAGAAATGTTCAAGGCTAGCTGCACCGTGACCACCTTATCAGAACTTAAGCTCTTATCTTCCCAAAGCAGATTTTTCAGCCTTTGTATGGACATTCACCAGGGGCCCTAAAAGAACTGTTAGAATTTATGTTGACTTTTTGCTCTATTAAGTATTCTAAATTTATAAGAGTTTTTTCTCCTTTAAACTACCTTCTTTTGCCTCCCTCCTTAATATGCTTAATGAGCACGTGGGTAATTTTCACAGCAAACACCAATACAGAGCAGACAATTCAGAAAGGAAAGCAAAACTGGCAAAGGAATAAAGAGTGTTATTCCATATGCTGTTGCCAAAGGTTATATATGGTTATTCCTCATTTTGATCATAAGTTTTTAATCTTATTGCAGATGCAGTTCTCAAGGGTGGCCAAACAAATTTTAGTTCAAAATGCCAACAATGTATAAAATTGGCTATGAAATCCAAGGAGTCCCTTTCATATATAATTTGTTACAAATACCATGCAGTGAAATCTGCATTTCTAAGCAGTATGTATTCCTGATTCACTCCTTTTTAGCCTCAACTTTAAATACGGTTATACTCGCCGATTTGTAAAGACCTGGTATACAGCTTCTAAGACTAAAGAAAAAGGCAAATTCTACTTGAAAGGATATGCGAGATAAAAGGAGCCCATAGCCTGACACTGGGCACCGCTCTCCTCTCACTGACCATTTGTACTTTTCATTAAAAAAAAACAACACAGAGACAGAAGTCTGGACAGCGTGTGGTTTAATCCAACAAACAGACTCTAGGCAATGCTATATAGCCAGTCCACCACTCTTTTTACAGGGGACATTAAGGATCGATATATCTTTCTCCTCCACCGAAGATGAAAACTCTGCTAGCTCACCTCACAAAGCCTATGTCGCATTAAGAGAAACGTTTTAAGAGGGAACGACAACTGCACACGCAGCTGCCTCCTGAGAACAACCTTGAGTCCTTTAATGGAAAGACACCTGTTGACCACCACCACCTTGCAGCCAAGTGGAAAACAACTGCTCTAAAGACAAAAAGCAAAAAGAAGTCCTGACAGCTTCAGGGGAACTACTCACTAGCATCAGGCAAATATCATGCCTTGGTCTTAACCTCTGGAATGCAAAATCGCGGTGTTAACTGCGTTTTCAGCATGAGATCTTACCTTGAAATTTTTTTTCTCCTGATAGCACTTCATGTCAAGCCTCAACAGTAAAGAAACTAACAGGAAAGCACATACTACCTGACTCTGCTTGTTTCAAACAACAACAACAAACAAAAAACCCAACCAACAAAAAATAAAAAACCGAGCAACCCAAACCAAACACTCTCCTCCGTTATGGCTTGACTTGTACACTAACAAAAAACTCAAACCAAAACAATCAATGATAGTATTTTCAGAGCTCATCTATGAATTATCGTAATCTGTGTGAGGAAAAGAAAACTCTGAACCATCTAGTTTTTGTTCATTAGGGTGTTACTGCATGGCTGCTCAAAACTGCTAGACTGAAATAAAATACTTGTTTTTGAGCACAGGAACTTTCTCCTCATTTCCACATTCATATTAATAAGACAGTAACTAGAGTGGGACTAGCTTTATATAAACTACATTAATTTTATAAACCACATTAATTTTATAAACCAAAAAGCAGCGCATGGCAACAAATTCACGAGTAAATAGATGTTGCTAAGTTTTTTCTATTAAATGGACATCATTAGAGTAGAACTTGCATTTAACCATCTATAGCTATTATTTAAAAAAAAATGAGGAAACTGATGCATAGGCTGATATTTTTCACTCTTGGTCCTAGTCCAGAAAAGGTAACACGTACATCCAGCTGTTTTAATTATGGGGAGGGGTGGAATTGAGCATGGCATTTACTTCTTACAACCCCCTAGAAAATACTAAGTCTTTAAAAACCATTCCTATCTTACCTGAGGGACTTGTTACAAAAGCCATTCAAAGAAAGAAAAATATATTGCCAGCCTAAGGTTTTCCAGGAAGGGAGAGGATGCTTCATTCCTTCAATCCCCATTCTGAATCCTATCAAACTGCCAATTCAGTTCTTGGTTGTTTTTTGTTTGGTTTGGGTTTTTGGTTTGTTTTAATTTTTGTTTTTGAGACACTCTGTACAGGGAGACAGCTTAAATCCTCTCCTACAGCTGCTCTCATCTACCACTCACAGGGTTAAGAACAGTTTTCCAGTAGCAAATATACAGTGTGCCTGTCCACGGGAGCACTGAACGTTTAGTCGGGTTTCTCAAATCGCGATGCAGTTGCATTCGCTTCACATATTTAGCTTGGTTTTGAGCCAACTACTTTGTCACATAAAATACTATTGCTGCTGTTAAATAGTGTCTTTGAGATCAGCTTTTAATCTCCTTACACATCACAGTGGAAGTCTCAGCACCAAGAGAAATGAGAAGTAACAAGATAACACATTTGAGAAAGGATGATACATAAGACAGACATCTTCAAACAAAATAAGAAATTAAGAGACACAGTACACTAAATTACCCTTCCCTTACTTGAAATGTAATATCTAGGCATCTCAATGAACCTGTGGGCAAGAAACTCTGCATATGAAAAAGATGTGGGTTTTTTCAGTTTGAAAACAAGTTCTAATACCATTCTCTGACTGAATATACAAATGAAACCAGAAGACACACTGCTGGCTCAACACAGCTCAGAAATGGCTCACAAGAAAGAAACAGTGACAACAGTTCTTTGCCTGAGGAACACAAAGTTAATCTGCTTATGAATAGTCGTCCGGCACAATCAGCAATATATTCGGTAAAGCTTACATTCCTACGTTGAACGTTATCCTGGGAACATGCTCACTGCCAAATGCCAGCATACATGCTGTACCATCTCTCCCACGCCTGCTAAGTGAAAAGGGAGAACGGCTATGACTGCACAAATTAACCTGCTATTCCTGTAAGTGGTCTGAATCTTTTAAGCCAGTTTTTGTCCTTTCTCAAGGAAACATAATTTGTTTACGTTGCCTTGCAGAAAATTTATGTGATGCTCAGATCTACCTCACTAGACAAGGGTGCTATTAAAACTTCTTACGAACAACAAAACTCAAAGTACAATTCATTCAAAGATCGACTGGGTCTTCCTATTCAAGGCTGCACTCAAAACTGTTCAAAGTTGTACAGCATCGTGACACACTCCCGTCTCCTTGTCTTAGATCAGGGTAGCAGACACAGGCTGTGTTTCCCTTTCCATTCTACATGTTTGTTAAAAAAAAAAAAAGACATTGTAGCTAAGGACCATCAGAACTCGTTTAATGATAATCTTTTCCATCTAATAAATACATATTCATTTGTGCCATATTTACTTATATCTTTCTGTAATTATATCAGGGTCTGCAGCACCCAGTGTAGTGTGGCAAGGAACCAAAAATGACGGCAGGAATACAAGCCTTCTCAAAAAGCTGCAGGTAAGGATGCTTTTCTCAGGTTACCTTGCTCGTGGCAGCCTAATTTTTAATGGTAATTCTGGCAATATGGTGATCCCTCAAGTCAAGTCAAAAGCCATCTTTTTGTGTCCACACATGAAGATGCACACATTTCTAACACTTGGGGTTTCTGCCATCTGAGTTCTAATACTGATCATTCAACTGATCTGATTCAATTCAGTGTGATTCACAGCAGTAAAACCTTGTTTCACACAAAATTAACCAATGTTCCCCTAGGAAAACTGACAGATAAATGCCTATGGCACTGCATGTTTGTAGGTTTTGGTTTTCTTTTCTTTTAAATATTATGGACCACATAAATGGCTAGTCTAAGTTTTCTCTTTAAAAAATGGACTGTTGATATTAACAGACCATGCAGTTGACCCATACGGACTTCAAGAAACACTACTGATTTAAGATATTTAGTAAGAAAAAAGTTAGGAAACGCAAATTCTCTATTTCCATTTTCTGATCTTTTCTGTAGGCAGAATGTA